TTGTGAAAGTTTTGGATTTGTACAAAACGTTCACAAGGTAGATAATTCTTTTATGTTTTGAGATAACATTGCTCTAGTGTTGTTTTGTGTACTCGGTTTTGAATTGTTGTTGTAGAACTTGTTGATGAACGATGAACAAACAGAGATTCGAGTTTAGAAGAGTTCATCAATGTTTGATCTAGAACTGCTACTTTTCTCTCTACAATTTTGATCTTCATTGTTTTTTGATTGATTCTTTGTAGATGAGGATGGTCCGCCATTGAAGCTTTCTATCAGAAATTACTTGATGCAAATGAGGATGGTCCGCCATTGGAACTTTCTAATGCACAGTTTCAAAAATTACTTGATGAAGAGGCACTACGAATTGCACAATATGTTCCCAACAACCTGATTATCTGTCCCAACTTGGAGTTAAAGGAATTTTGGTTTGATGTGGAGAAAGATTTTTACTTTGAATGGCTGAAATATGAGAAAGGATACAGAGGATTGACTATGACTGAAATGGACTACTTCAACACTTATTGTTTAAACCATCCTCAAGGCCAGAAAAAAAGCTTTCGATGATTGAGATGGTAAAAATTTTCTCAGAGACTTTGCTTTGTTTATGGGTTTTTAAAACTTTTTGTTTCTGATTTAAATTTTTTTTTTTTGAAGTGATGCCTATTTGGAAGAAGATTTTCCACGGTCGATCAGGTAAAAGGATACCAATGTTTCTTTGGAAACCCTCTTTTCTTAGTGAATAATAAGACTTTTAAATGTTGTTTATTGCTTGCTTATTGTGTTTGGAGGACATATCGAGTCAATAAACTCATTGATAATATGTGTAGTTAAACAATGGTATATGGTATTATATCTTCGTAATCCATCTACTAATAAACAGTTCAGTTTTGAATCAAACCATGTACAGTACTTTCTGATAAATCCACAAAACCGGTTACTTTCTTTTTACAATACACACAAGAAAATATATTTTGCTTGACCGGATATCATTATCTTAACCGCGGTGTAGAATATAATAGTGTCCGATAATATAGTTTACATATAGATAATGAATGTGTAATGTATCTACAACACACAACAAAAATAGTAAGTGATAAGAAGCAATATAAAGTGGACAATGTGAGGTGAATGAACCTTAAATTAGCAAAACTATATATAGTATTTGATTATGCTATATCAGGCCCCTTTGATATTGGTAGTGTAATTCTTCGTACCTCGTGTTGTTCCCCACTATATTGTATGTAATGGCACAAAATATTTTTTACCGCCATTTATGCAAAAATTAAATCACACAAATAGCAATACTATATTATTTGATCAGAAACTATTGTGTGACACTAAAGTATTGCTATTTCTTTTGACCTAGACGTCATCTCCCAAACGGAGAAAAGAACGGAGAGAAGAAAACAAAGAGAAATATGCAAGAGCCACAAACCTGTCACGAGTGATACTTCCTTTTGAGCTAGAGATCGATATTCTTACGAGGCTACCTCCTAAAACTCTTATGAAATTTAAATCCGTCTCAAAGCTTTGGTCATCTTTGATTTGTTCAATATTTCACCAACCATTTTCTAAAGGCATCATCGTCGTAGCCATCTTGGTACCTAAAGATACAACTTTTTTCTACACTCTATTATATGATCTAGAAAAGAATCATATGAGAAAAGTTGAACTTAAAGGAACACCAAACCACCATCTTACAAAAAGCAATGACAATGTAGTTGGATTAGATGATATTGAGAATATAATGTATGTCAAAACTTAAAAATTCATATCTCCA